ATATTCACATAGCAACACTCATTTATTGAATCAATTTCTTAATCATCACAAAACTCACGACATAAAACAGTTTACAATCTATACAAATGTGTACAATTCAAATGCAATACGAAACATTCGAAAACTTTACAAAACGTCAAATAAAATTGAGCACATAAATCACGACACAAGCATTCATAAATGATGATGAGTGGTCACTCACCACTGGAAATATTGCTACATGAGAAATGACTAATTGAAGACAAGTCGACTGCAATAACCGCTTGAAGATAACAAAAATCGCACTGAAATCGATACAATGAAACTATGAAAACACAATACATTGTAATGCATTTGTCCCGTATTCATATTCAATACAGCGACGTTACATTACCGACAACTGACAGGGAATATGTTTTTCTCCATTCCGGAAGATATCAAAATGTGACGACTATTCAATCGGAATAGCGGATTATGCATGATCAACGATCCGTAAAATGTTTAATCGCATTCGCTGTTGAACGCTTCCGTCGAACTCAAAATGGAAGCACACATAATACGATCGAATTTCATCGATCATCGAACTCAAAATACTGACAGTACAAGACAGAATAAACAATTAAGCAGAGCTGAGGCACTTTTTACGTACATAAAGCTAACAGTTAATGTGAAGAGATAGATGTTTTTATGGCAGAAGGATTCAGTTCAACTGATGGCATGAAGGGGCATTCGAAAGAGATGAAAATGCTGAAAATACGCGAAATTCATAGGATCTTCTCGTAAGCACAATGAGAAAAGACAACAGCAAACACCGAAGTCAACGATGGACTTGGGAAGGCATTTTATCTGGTCTTACATTACCTCGTTACATCTTTCCGCGCGTTTGATTCGAAGAAGAGAAATACGTAAAATCTGGTACAGCGCTGAGTGTAAAAATTATGAATACGGCACATCACCGAATACCGAGTGGTTGTGAAGAATATTAGGAGATTAGGCGCCGAATCACAAGAAATGGTTTCGGAAATCCGCAATGCGCCCATAAGAAGTGCCCCAGCTGAAATTATCAACGGATACTGCGCTGAAGCCAGAAATTTTCTTTCGGTGGCTCGCTGACCGTCAGAATTTTCGACGCTTCTCACGTCGACTTCGGCATTCGACTGTCTGTCGTTGCCAACACTAATTCGGCAGTATTCGAATACATATGAAGAAGGAACAATCAAGCTTCTGCGCAAAAGCTAAGCAGTGCAGATTTCTTCCAAACTGAACCTTCTCCGCATCAGCTATAACACACGAGAACATGAAACAATATCCAAAAACACTGAAACGGCGAAAACTTTCGAAAAAAATATTTACAAAAACAATAAAAAAAACTTAAATACAGAGAAAAATTAATCGTTGAAGCAATTCGTTCATACAGACGAAGATTTCAAGCTAAAGTTTGAGCGAATACAATGCCAAATAGCTGTTTCGTCTCGGATAAAACATCAATAAGGACGCATATTACTGACACTTCGAATTGGAAAGAAGATTACATTGATATCATTTACAAAAACAATTATCTATGACAGTAATACAGCTCTACGCTTACAACCTCAACACTTCAATTCGTTACATTTTTCAATTTTCAATACACATTTCGAAACAAATAATACGGTTACAATTGAAAATCAAAAATGATAAAGAACACGTCAGATATTTGGTGAGTATTATAATTCACATCAAGGAATTAATATCATCATTAATACATTAGTGCATTTAGAATTTCATAAAAACAAAATAAGTAGGTTGTTAGGTGAGTAAGAGAAGTTTAAATTAACAATAATCAAGTAGAACTAAGCTACAACGATGAATTTATTCCTCTCATTTTGAATCTAACAACGAGACATTTGAGAAAGATTATACAAATTGTTCCACTAATTTGATCTAAAACAATTACTTGAAATAACCTCACAAATCGTGCACTGAAATCTTCCAATAACTAGTGATATGGGATATCACTGTAAATTATCTAGGTTACTTTCAAGTTTGACTTATACCACCATTTTAGGCCTGCATTCCAGCAAATTCAGTCAACTACCATCGGCTGGTTTGAGACGTATGTATATGCAAAATTTCTTTAACTTTATTATTGTCTACATCAAATTCAAAAAAAAAACAAATCCATCCCGCTTCCTTGCAACATATTTACATCATAAAATAACGAATGACATACCACTGGACCCATCCTGAAAGAACTCATTCAAACACTCTGAAAGACATCCGGTGGACGATCGTCGTTGTCATCAATGTGCCTTCCAGACGGTGAAGCACGGCGTGCTGCATGATGCGGTGGCTGTAACTGTTGTTGTTGATGAGTTGATCGTCGCAAAGCACCACCCAAAGGATCTCGATGGATAATTGTACTTTGAGCAGGAACACCCCATATATCGGATATGGACGACTGCACGGTAGTGGCAGTTGTCACGGTCATCATTTGGGTTTGTACCGTTGCAAGATGTGCAGCCTCATCCGATTCACCATCGAAATCAGTAAGCACATTTGGATTCAGTGTTGCCAAAGCACCATAGTTTGACGTTTGCCTTAAGCTACCGTCGTGTTCGGCACGCAACCGTCTCAAACACATCGTCGTCAGCGACATTTCGGCCGCTGCTATATCCGTCGTAATCTCATCGGTGAGACCTTAACGCATATTTACATTATAACAGAAATTTCCTTTACGCGGACAAAGAAACGCTCCCTGAACAACTGCATGAAAATTCATCTGAATTCATTAAACTTCAGGCACAAAGCTCAAAAAGTCTAGCCGTTTTCAACCACCTATACGACTGAATATTCATTTTTCTCGCATAATGAAACAAAAATGTTCCAGCAAAATATTTTCATCACATCGAATTTGCTGACATCACACTTTTAAACGATTACTCATCAAAACAGTCTATTTTGGGTCGCTTACAAGCAATATATCAGCAACAATAATAACAAAATTATACGAAAAGTTTGCAGCATTCCAATGAATGATGTTTTACTTACTCGGATGAAGAGACGAAGAATGCTGTGCAAGGAAACCGGATTGCTGCAAGGATCCAATCAACGAGTTTGTACCAGCAAGAGGCGCAGCGTTACGATCTTCTCGTATCGTACTCAAACTAGTTGCTCGATCTGCTGCGGTTGCCAATCGTGGAGGATAGTGCAGTGGGAAGGCTGCGTGCATACTCTCGGCGAGAATATTCGTCTCAGTGCCCGTTTGTTCCCGCAAATTTCTCATTTCACGGTCCATCTAGATCATTCAACAACATTTCTTACAAATCAACAAGCAACTGCGATAGGTAAATTATTTGAAAGTCTGAACACTTTCCTCTGATCAGCACAAACAGCTACAATCTTTTCTTCTACTTCAAAAGTGCCACTAAACTACTAGCCTCATGCAATTTATCGATAGATTTATCACCTATTGATAAATTTTTTAGGATTATCTTGACAATGAGTAACTTCAACCAAGACGGATGGGATCTATTTAGAACCACTATATTTCACTTTTTCATTAGTCTGTCGAGTTGACGAACCCTACTGACAATTGATGAAAAACGTTTTCCGATGTTTTCACCAGGTGCTGATTGCGAGAAGAAAAATACGCAAAAAAGCCATCACACCAGACAAATACAATAGTCATACGCATTACATCAGAAGAAATGAAACAATACTAACAGGACAAGTCTACAATACTTACCCAGTTGCGCAATTGAGTGATGAAACGCATCGATCCGGGCGGTGGATTCCAGTCCGGATTCGATATAAAGAAGTGCAATAGCGACAGCTCGGTTTTACCGTCATTTGCACGTAGTCGTTCGTCTTGTTCAAACTCCAAATGACTAGGCATTCTCCGTCGTTGCTCTTCTTTTACATTAAGTTCAACTAAAAGCGATCGAAATGGTAATGATCAAAATCGTCATATTAATATCGATAATAAAACAATCCCTGCATTATTTTTCTCATCCACTGATTTCCATTTCACTACGTCATTCTAACGAAATAGTTCATGAATCGAAGCGTAATCCTTTATTGTATCAGTATGAACCGAAAGCATTTGATCATGATCGATTTTAGACATTGTTTGTGGCACGATTTGATTCAGATTTATACGACGACGTGTGACTGAGCATCGCCTGATCAAACACGCATGAAATTCATGAATAATAAATACGGCACTGACTTGGTTGTAGCTGTTCGTCCTGCTCTAGACCATCGTTCCACGTTGGATCACCATGTTTTGAAACATCCAACTGTGCAAACGAACAAACATCACCCAGTCCATCGACGCTTATCGTGAAGTTATGGAAAAAATTCACAAATTCACGCGCTTGTGGACGAATCCTTGAAGAATCAATCAATCAATGCAATTAAAATGAAACAAAACAAATCATATGCGCCTTCATTATATATCCAAAAATCTACAACGAAATGTATCTAATGGCATTCAATATTATTACAGAAAACGTAATGAATACATACACTCCAACAGTAACTCACCAAAAAATCAAAATGAAAGGCGTTAGCAACGGACTCAACAATTCTTCCAGTATGAACGTTGCTTTCAGTTGGAATAAATATTGAAACTGCTGTCGTACCTTCGCTGAAATATTGCACATGACAAAAGCACGCATTGCTCGCACTCAAAAAATTTCACAACATTCTAAATAACGATTCTTATTTCGCAAAAAATTCATCAAATTCGAAGTCTTGTCCGAGTTGATACTTAATAAACAAGTGCTATTTTCATGAAACAGTATCGACATTCATCGAACAATACCAATTTTCAATCGCCTAAACCCACTGAACTGTCGGTTTCATAAACAGAGTAAAAATCAAAACAATATTCACTCTCGCAGCCAAAACAATATTTACAAGATAAATGTGGCAGGGTCAAATGGAGCAGATGACAAACATCAAAAAATGTACGAAATGGTGAGATGCCATTGAAGAAGCTGCCTGCATGAAATCAGTGCTCAATAACACAACTCACCAGTATGTGCTTGACCAATCCACGAGTCCGGCGCATAGACAATATGTGCGATAACACGGTTCAACAACACCTCTGGCTGTCGTATCAGATTCTCGTCGGCAATGAACGAACGACACACAACAATCACCACACCGCAAACGGTCATCGTTGTGAGCACATGATCAACCTTTAACAATAACCCAAATTAACTTGGTCATCAAAAATTTTGTGGTGTTTTGCGATGCACATTGCAAGGAAACTCGTTAATGCCTGTTGACAACACACACTCACGCCCATAATCATCACATCAGCTAAAAAAAATAGAACTGATAGATCAGCAACAATCAACCATTATCAACGTTTTAATTCTAGTTTCCTAGCCAAGCATCAACTTCTTAGTGTTAGGACACTTCTCTACTCTACCCTAACGCCTAAAAAGTTCCAGCCAAAAATTCATTTCATAGAGCAACAGCTTAGTTACTACACGGAACGTTTGTAAGATTTCATAAATCAAAGTGTGCTGAAATGTTATAATAGAATGTATCGCTTAATTATTAAACGAGTTATTCCAAGGCAAAATTTAAGTGTATAGCAAAATGGAATAATTCGCACGTACCGACAAAACGTCTTCGTCCCATGCCGACAACAGCGCCAACACAGCAAACAGGGCGCCCGCAACGAAGGCGACATTTTTGGCGATTATTTCATTGAAGGGTGATATGAACTGATCCATGTACTGCTCTGCAGCCTGATGACTTCGTGACAGCCGTAATCTCAGTTCGTGACCCAATTCGTTGAAATGGCGAATTTTATGCCTTAAACGTGAATTCACATGTACAATAACATTTGAGCCGTTAATTAAACTTGAATAAAAGATAAACACATTACGTGGACATCCACAAAACCGGATTAGCACTCTCTTGAAGATGGCAGACAATTACAATATTCCGTGCTGTTATAGCCATAAAATTAGGTGCACTAGGCGGTGTGAAGATAAAAAATAGCTAGCAGGTAATACAGGATAGAAAACATCAAACACACTGAAAATTCAACTTAATCAGTTGACAAACATCGCTTCGAATACCATATTGATTCATCATCACCACTGAGTTCACACGTAAAGAAGGCCTTACGCCAAACCTCTTGCTAACGATCTACCCATGAATTATATCAATCAACATAGATGAAAACTGCGATGGAACTGTTCTCGGTTTTACCTTCCATAGTTGGAGTAACGTCGAGTTCCAAGCGCACCAGGTTCACGTTTCACCAATTCGGCATATGAGAAGAACGAGTACAATATCTGATACATTAGAATCAGCGGTGAAAAGACCAGATTTGCTATGCCCATATACAAAATCGTTTTTTCCATATCAGCGGCTGTAATTTCACAAGAAATTCATATTTAATAATTGAACCTCTCAACACAACAACTAGAATTATTCACTAAAATTGAGATGATGTCCTAATAAATTCACTGGAGCTATTCTATCTAAATTCCATAAGAAATATGACAATCATAAGATAACTGTACGCACTCAGTTTAGTGATGTTCATTTGATGTTTGTATTCGTCTTTCAGTGCGTATGGCCCTTCCCATGGTGACCAAGGACCCCAAAACAGTAACCATTCCAGATTCAATTTCAATCCGTTTGGCAAATATGGGATAGGTCCTTTGAATGGTATGTTTAGCACTGGCGGTAAGACATCTTTGTTGACCATTGACACAAAATAATTCTGAAAATCCTTTCAATCAATGACACACAACTGAAATACGAATGCTCTTTTATGACAAGCAAAAAGGATTTGAATCATAATTTTTAACGAGGAAACGATGTAACAACAATCTTAAATATTCGTTTTGTGCAAATATCCTGCTGGGTTGATTAATGGGATTAATGAGTTTGCAGCGTTCGTATTGTACGAGGGAAAGGTTTCACTGATGATGTTTCTAATTATTCGTAGAGAGA